ACGCATTTGTAAACAACAACAACAACGACGCAATTGTAAATAACAACAACAACGACGCAATTGTAAATAACAACGACAACGACGCAATTGTAAACAACAACGACAACGACGCAATTGTAAATAACAACAACAACGACGCAATTGTAAATAACAACGACAACGACGACACTGTAAACAACGACGTCACTGTAAACAACAATGACACTGTAAACAACAACAACAACAATGACTGCAACAGCAACAATAATGTCATCATCATCAACAATAAAAAATATCACCAACCAGGACAAGAACAACAATAACATAAACAACAGCAACAAGAACAACAACAAAAACCGCAGCGGCAGCATCACAACGACCACAAATAAACAACAACAAAAATGACGACAACGTTATCAATAAGTCTCCCTCCACTCGGGCCGAATAGGAGATATTACCTGTGTCTAGCTTAGTAGCGATGGGACTTTGACATGTCATACATCGCTTCATTCTGATGCAACACTCGTCACAAGCCACCCGATGTTCACACGGCTTAAACGTCACCAGGTGGCGTGGCTCGTCACATATCATACACAACAAAATGTCCTCCGGTGGCAACGTGTCAGTTGCCATGGTAGCGGACGAGGGGCACGGTGCACTGAAAGATAAAGAGAAATAAACAAGAAGAACTATGACCCATGTTAAATCACATCATTTGCTTCGTAGCATATATTTCGACACCATGTTTCCTATATATATTTTCCTATAATATGGTTGACTGGACCATTCATGCATTGCATTGATAACAGTTGCAAAGACCACATAGTATTAGTTAGAGTGCAATTAAATGGCAGTAATGGTATTTCTAACATGTTGTTGGACAATTCAAATCTTATTTTGTCGAGGTTACAAGTATTAATATAAAAATATTGAAAACGTTTACAATATTTGTGCGCTGCTTAAACATCTGATTTATGATGGTTTTTGTTGAAATGTTTCTGCATTTCCTAGTTTTGATAAATGCCTTGCTATGCATGTTGGTAAATACCCACGAAACACAGCAATGCTGTGATAATGAACATTTTGTATACAACAAATTTAGTATCATCACCATCACTTACACTTTATTAAGACCAATGATTTATTTAATTCAGTTATCAAACAGCTAAGAAGAGGAATAAAAAGTCATGAAAATATAATAAGTCAACAAATCAATAAATTTCAAACAAGTGGTTTCAGTTTTTCAAGCAATAGAGAAACTCAGAACTGAACTAACATCAAAATCGAGACGATATAGACTGTGAAGGTTGAATAACTATATATATATATATTGTACAATAGGCTTCTTAAACTGACGCGCAACTTATATATCACACATATGCCCACACAAGTGAATGCAACAAATATAAATAATAGGTCATAAATTCAAAAAAATAACCTCATCAATAAAATGAAGTAGTATCATTCGCAGCAGCACATGAACTTGCAAAGCCTCACCTTTCCAGTAGAGACAAGCTGGCGTAATACTTGATGACTTCAGCCAGTTGAACGTTGACATAGTCCAGTGGACACTTCCGTTCTTTATTTCTGTGCGCTAGATTGGCACCCTTTTGTGCAAGGTAGCAGGCCATAGCCAGACCAATGTTTTGGCACAGTCCCCTGACCTCTAGCTCAGACATGATCTGTAGACAATAACTCAATTGTGATCAAGTGAAGCTAGTGTTTTCCAATTCCCTACAGATCACCTCCAGATTTCATTGAAGATATATTATTAAGTATACGGTCAAGTACGCGCACGGTCATTCGAAGACAGTGTCATTTAAAATTTATCACACAATTTTCCTTGAGTGTTTGTCATCAAATAAGTAATAAAGTTATTACTGCTTATGCTTCTTACGGTTGTGTGAACCAGTATGTCTGTCACAAAACCAATGTTATAAAAGTTCTGTTTTCGTAGATGCAATACTATACTAAAGACACAACATTGTTTACTGCCCAGCAGAATTACTCGTTAATTACAGACATCGTTAATTACAGACATCAGGTAGCGAACGTGGATTAGTTGTGCCAATCCATTACGTGGGATGCTCCCATCATTACTAATTGGATTGATTAGTAATTGCTGCTTATGTTGCAGATACTCCTCTTGCCTGTCTGCCTGTCAGCCTACCTGCCTGCTTACCTGCCAGCCTGCCTGCCTGTCTGCCTGTCAGCCTACCTGCCTACCTGCCTGCCTGCCTGTCAGCCTGCCTACCTACCTACCTACCTGCCTGCCTGCATGCCTACCTGCCTGCCTGTCAGCCTACCTGCCTGCCTGCCTGCCTGCTTACCTGCCAGCCTGCCTACCTACCTGCCAGCCTACCTGCCTACCTGCCTGCCTACCTGCCTGCCTGCCTGTCAGCCTGCCTGCCTGCCTGTCAGCCTGCCTGCCTGCCTGCTTACCTGACAGCCTGCCTGCCGACCTGTCTGTCTTTTTTCACATTTACACAGGCAATAAACGGAGTATCTGCAACATCAGCATCAACTACTAATCAATCCAATTAGCAATGATGTGAGTATCCCACGTAATTGATTGGCACAACTAATCCACGTTCGCTACCTGTAATTAACCGCCATACGACTAAAAGCCGAAATACAGCTAACACACATTCCAACCTACCTAGCAGTTAGTGACCAAGCAAACCTTCGCTAAGCATACTACCACATCTAACAACTGTGGCGATTGCAATTAATTAACACCAAACTCTGTTAATTACACCGCACTAGCGATCAGGAGGCTGAACACTGTCAAACCTGTATATGAATTATAACAGCCATTCAAGAGAAGCGCCGTAACAAACACGAGTCCATTCTAGTGGTTTCAATGTACACATAATTGGCCTTTATGAACAGGTGGTCGTTCTATGAAGGTGATCTCTAACTGGGAGGTGAACTCTCTAATGGAATCTATTTTGGGCATGCACGGCATATGCCAAAGTGAGTGCAGTGACGTCAACTCATTAAACCCCGGGGCCGTTAACGTCGTTAAGTTAATGGTAAGACTAATGTTAAAACTAATTTTGTTTCTGACAACGGGCCCCAGGACGCTGTCGCTGTAGTTCCCCAGACACCAGGGTGCATGCAGGCATCCTACTTACTGGTGATCACCCGAGGTGATGACTTAACAAACAGTAACACACGTACATTCACATACGCGCGTGTGCACACACACACACGCATGCACGCCACCGCTAATGCAGGCAGACAGGCAGGCAGGCATGCAAGGCAGGCAGGTAGGCAGGTAGGCAGACAGGCAGCGCAGGCAGGCCAGTAAGCAGGCAGGCAGGCAGGCAGGGTAGGCAGATAGACAGGCAGCGCAGGCAGAGCAGGCAGGCAGGCAGGCAGGCAGGCAGGCAGGTAAGCAGGCAGCAGGCAGGCAGGCAGGCAGGCAGGGCAGGCAGGTAGGTAGGCAGATAGACAGGCAGCAGCGCAGGTAGCGCAGGCAGGCAGCGTAAGCAGGCAGGCAGGCAGGCAGGCAGGCAGGCAGGCAGGCAGGCAGGGCAGGCAGGCAGGCAGGCAGCCAGCGCAGGCAGGCAGGTAGGTAGGCAGGCAGGTAGGCTGACAGGCAGGTAGGTAGGTAGGCAGGCAGGCAGCCAGGCAGGTAGGTAGGCTGACAGGCAGGCAGGGAGGGGAGGCAGGCACGGCAGGCAGGCTGACAGGCAGACAGGCAGGTAGGCTGACAGGCAGGCAGGCGGCAGGCAGGCAGGCACGAGGTCAGGCAGGCAGCGTAAGCAAGCAGGCAGGTAAGCGTAGGCAGGCAGGCAGGCAAGGCAGGCAGGCAGCAGGCAGCGTAGGCTGCACAGGCCAGACAGGCAGACAGGCAGGCAGGTAGGCTGACAGGCAGGGCAAGCAGGGAGGCAGGTAGGCGGACAGGCAGACAGGCAACAGGCAGACAGGGCAGGCAGGCAGGTAGGCCAGGTAGCGCAGGCCTGACAGGCAGGCAAGGCAGGGAGCCAGGTAGGCGGACAGGCAGACAGGCAGACAGGCAGACAAGCGCAGGCAGGCAGGTAGGGCTGGCAGGTAAGCAGGCAGGTAAGCAGGCAGGTAGGCTGACAGGCAGGCAGACAGGCAGGTAGGTAGGCAGGCTGACAGGTAGGCAGGCAGGTAGGCCCGACAGGCAGGGCAGGTAGGCTGACAGGCAGAACAGACAGACAGGCGCGTACGGCAGGCAGCACAGGCAGGTAGGCAGGCTGACAGTAGGCAGGCAGGTAGGCTGACAGGCAGGTAGTAGGCAGGGCAGGCAGGGTAGGCAGGTAGCAGGCATGCAAGCAAGCAGGCAGATAGGCATCTATCTCTCATCTCAATCACCCTCCCCACATAGTTTTGTGGATAAACAATATCTATCTCTATCTCCATCTCAACACCCTCACCGACCCTCCCTCCCTCCCTACATAGTTGTTGTGATGCCCACAATATCTATCCGTATCTCCATCTCAACCACCCTCACCTCCTCCCTCCCCACATAGTTGTTGTGATAAAAACAATATCTATCTCTAATCCCATCTCAACCACCCTCACCTCCCTCCCTCCCCACATGTCGTTGTGATAAACAATATCTATCTCTATCTCCATCTCAACCACCCTCACCTCCCTCCCTCCCACATATGTTGTTGTGATAAACAATATCTATCTCTATCTCCATCTCAACCACCCTCACTCCCTCCCTCCCCATAGTTGTTGTGATAAACAATATCTATCTCTACTTCTCCATCTCAACCAACTCCTCACCTCCCTCCTCCCCCACATAGTTGTTGTGATAAACAATATCTATCTCTATCTCCATCTCAACCACCCTCACCTCCCCTCCTCCCCACATAGTTGTTGTGCATAAACAATAATCTATCTCTATCTCCATCTCAACCACCCCTCACCTCCCTCCTCCCCACATATGTTGTTGTAAACACATATCTACTCTATCTCCATCTCAACACCCTCACCCTCCCTCCCTCCCCACATAAGTTGTTGTGATAAACAATATCTATCTCTATCTCCATCTCAACCACCCTCACCTCCCTCCCTCCCCACATAGTTGTTGTGATAAACAATATCTATCTCTATCTCCATCTCAATCACCCTCACCTCCCTCCCTCCCCCACATAGTTAGATACATGGAATGACGTGACGTACGGTTGAGAGACGCGGTGAGTTTTCGAGCACGGCGTCGACGGTGGCAGACCGCGACAGCGCCAGGTGTACGGCTCGATCAGCATCTTCATCCTCAGCATCCACGTTCGCACCATGCTCTGCCAGCAGCTGCAAGACAAACGAGTCGAGTTGAACTGACGAGCAGGATCAACGAATCCGCGGTGAGAGGTACGCGCGACTCATGAACCGACATCTCGCACAACTATGCAGGAAGGTGCACGAAATAGGGACAATTAGCAAGATGAGGCACGATTGGATGGACTAATTACTGCGTAGCGTATGATCTGATCGATCGATGAGTAAGAAAATGACGCACGGCGCGATGATTTAATACTTTAATGTCTAGAACGGAATGATTTGTCACGTTGTGATGTCACAAAGAATGCGGAAATGCAATGAAATAATAAAAAATAAAGAAAAAACATTCTTGCACGGTTACGTTAATTTCATTATGGCATGCAAGCTGGTAATATTAAGACAAAAGGACAATAATGAAATTCGAATGTGAACATGTTTTTCAATTCGGTCTTATTCACTTAATGTATCTCTACGGTATGTGAACTGAAAATTAAATAACAGACCATTGTGGCTCTTTTATTTCCACTCTCTAAACTTAAAATACAACTTAATCAATAAATAGTCTAATTACGGCACACCAATCGCTTGAAGTTCATCTACAGGTCTGTATAAATGCGTGTTTCATGCATTGCTTTGCTTACCTCTACAATTGCTGCATGCATCTGACTGACAGCCAATAGCAGCGGCGTCTGCTTCCTGTTGTTACAGATGTTGATATCACACCCACCCTGCAAGGCAGCAAGAATCCTGCTACAGCATAGCCACACGAGTAAAATGTGACCGGTTGTAGCCAAATGAGTCACTTGGGGGTAATTTTACAATTTCCAGATAACCATATGACGATGTTCTGCTGTCTTTTATCTTCATATTAGTCCAAAAATGTTGAGAATCGGATAAAAGATAAAAGAATCTAAAGTGTGACCAATTTCATATATATATATATATCAGAATTCCCTATTATCTACTCCTGATATATATTGATATATTGGTACAAAATAGCAAAATTATATCTTTTAAAGATATTATATGTATATTTCACCGAGATATTCAGATTTTAAGCAATCTATTTCTGTTAAAATCACAAAAACAAAAATTTCATGCCGATAACGTTAAAACAACACATAGTGTAAAATCTATATGTGCGACTTCTGACTCATTTGGCTATAACAAATAGCCTCCTACAATCACCAACGTTCATACAATCACAAAGCACCAAGGGGGCCACCGTCAGGAAAAAATGTTGGTGGTAACACTAATCTTAGCCATAACTTTGTTACATATTTTTCGATAGTATCAGTCATTATCATCGGTCTGCGGTGTTTGATAGCATTACATGACATCCCTAGATTCTTACCCCACAATTGATTAAGTGATTGATTGATTGATTGATAGATCTACTAATCACGTGCCTGTGAGGAATCATGTATGCAGCACGGCATCGTGTAAATATCTTTCGCAAACCAAATTGCCGTGGCGTGACATATTGAATCTTCATCCCCATCAGGAACACGGATTTGTCTCGTTAGCCCATGCACTAGACTAGCCAGTGCAGCTGTGATCACCCGAGGGACGTGGAACACAGACGCACTCGCTAACCATCATCAATCAGCGTTACGTGCGAGCATGTTGTTGTTGCTGGTTGTGGCACGCGGGCGAAGTTACCTGAGTGAGTAAGGTGTCTGCGACCTGTGTGTGTCCGTTCAAAGCTGCTAGGTGCAATGCTGCAAAGCCATCGTCCTTTTTCACGTCAACAATCTGCCTCGTCTTCTGTAGTAACTTTTCCACAGCACTGAGGAGGAAGAGCGGCGATGATTGCAGATGTAAAACACTACTTCAAATAACTGGGCCGATGGGGAAGGAACACGACATGTCGAATTTCAAAACACTGCAGATACATGATTATTACATGTACGCACGCACGCACGCACGCATGCACGCACGCACACGTGCACACCCGGTTATTACACGCACGCACGCACGCACGCACACATGCACACACGGTTATTACACGCACGCACGCACGCACGCATGCACACCCGGTTATTACACGCACGCCTGCACGCACGCACGCACGCATGCACACCCGGTTATTATGATAACAAGTGCCGCATAGCGACAGCGCTCATCTAACNCAGCATAAATCTACGCTCGCAAAGCGAAGACATCGGCTACACTTACTAGTTGTTTCCCTTAAGCGAACCATGGTGAACACATCGGCTGCACTCACTAGTTGTTTCCCTTAAGCGAACCATGGTGAAGACATCGGCTGCACTTACTAGTTGTTTCCCTTAAGCGAACCATGGTGAAGACATCGGCTACACTTACTAGTTGTTTCCCTTAAGCGAACCATGGTGAAGGACGTTGAAACCGCGTTTGTTCCTCAGGGAGAAGTCGACGCTAGGGCCGTTGATGAGCAAGTCTATGACGTCACTAATCACCAGCATTAACTACGATAAGAGTTACAGACATTACAGGTCTAGTCTACACCGTAAATTTCTCAATGAGAGTGTTGTCGGGAAAATTGCCATTTTACGATTATCACGAATCCTTCCGATTTCGTATAGGAAATCAAAGACATGTTCTACAATGATACACGAACATGTTATAACATGTTCTACAATGATACACGAACATGTTATAACATGTTCTACAATGATACACGAACATGTTATAACATGTTCTACAATGATACACGAACATGTTATAAGCGAGTTTTGCGTAGCATTGGCTTCCCACATGATAGTGCAGACACTTGCCCCACACTGCCCATAATTTCTCATAATTTCTAGTCATTTGACCTATTACTGTTATTATTTTAATTATCTGCTTAAAGAGATTTTGTTATATAAACTTAAGATAGAGCAAGAATGTAATAGTTGGTTAAAATAATTTTTTTTTGCAAAATTATGAAAATGTACAAAATAAGATAACATTTCAATATTTTGGGAATCGAATCGAGAGGCTAATATCGAGATACGGATCGAATCGTGAGGTATGTGTATCGTTACAGCCCTAGTCTGCACATACCTGCCCCATTGTTAGCATGTTACAGCAATATTCAATCTTAGGGACCGTCTGCATGCCACAATATACATTTATCAAGAGTGAGTATAGATGAACAAAGATGATTAATAAAGACTACTGTACATATGACCTTCATTATGTAACCTTGACATTGGTGCTCGGCCCATCTGTCACAATGGGAGAACTCAATCAATAGTTTCTAAATTCAAGCAGAACACAAAACGTAAAAAAAATAAAAACTAAAGATTTTATAAATTTAAACCTTAATAAAAAATAAAAATAACGTACCTGGATGTTCACGCTGCACTTGTGTTTTAGAAGCACCTTCACACAATGCACATGCTGCTTATTGACCGCCACGTGCAGCGCGGAGCAGCGCCCCCTATTGAGAGTATTAATCTTCGCTCCGTGTTGCAGAAGTTCTTCCATAACGCCTGGTTGGTTGCTGTTAGAGAGACAGTTTACATCGTAGATTGTTAGTAGGGATCATATACATAGGTGCATCAGGGTTCATAGTAGTAAGACACATGTTGAAATAAGGACTTATAAGACTCTTTCTGGAAGCCAAAATAAGACTTTTTTACGCGATTTCTGATAGATCACCGACTATTAAAGTACGCTAATATTTATATAAAGCCGTTTCGCCGAAATTCAACAGAGAAAATGTTGAAAAATGGTCCTTTAGCAAAAAATAAGGACTATTAAGTACTTTTCTAAGATTTTACCAAAAATAAGTACTAATAAGGGCCCTTATTTTATTTTTGGCAAAATAAGTACTTATAAGACTTTGGCAGACCCGCTACGAACCCTGTGCATGATAATACAGAGTTTATTTGAATCAGGAAACGTAGCCAATGATTGCAAGCCAACGTATGGGTTTTCAAGGGCGACTGTAAAGTGCATAGTTTTTACTTAATTATAAGTAAACTTATAAGTAAATCTTTAACCATTTAAGAGACATGTGGGGATCTTCTGCTTATATTGCATGATAAATATCGCTTACGAATCAAATGAAATTTTCATACATCAATATTACAGATGTGTTTATTACCACTACAAAGCAATTTTATGATATTTTTAATGTGCATTGCACTGTAACAACAATCGGAAACTTTTGCATTCTTCCTAGCGAAAATTGCGATGTGTAACCAAACTTTGGTCCCATTTTCTAGCAGAAATATCCATTTCTGTTCCCCAAGTGTCTGACTTTGGTCCCGTATTAAAATAAGGAAGTATCCTCACCCGAAGGCAGAGTAATGAAGGGCTGTATCTCCATCATCATCCTGTATTTCTAAATTTGACTTCCTCAGCAGGAGATAGAGCACAATCTCAAGATGACCCTGATGTGCTGCCACCTGTAGGGCTGTTTTACCACTACTCTTTACATCAACCTGGGGAAAAATGTGAAATTTTTGTAACTGCAAGTGCAATTCAGACAGATACACGCTACTTACCATGAATTATAACATGTATTACACATTATCAGGAGTGTATAATATAGATATACTAATAAAAAGATAATATATCTATATTATACACTCCCGATACTATTGATAATGAAATTTTTTTGATATGAATATCTTAAATTTAATCAAAAATATCACACCAATCTTCCCAGAACACCCACGCAAGTACCTTGTCTGGGGAACTATCCACAAAAAGCAGTGACAGCCTCTAAATGACCTTGAGCAGCTTCCCTGACCAGTAAATCCTGATCTTTACCTTCGTGGGACGTTGTTCACCAGAGTTGAGTGTAGCGAGTAAGGTTGCCAGTGGATCTGTAATATAGAAACACAAATATATACTACTGCTATACAAATCTGACGTATACTCCAAGTTTGGTGTGAAGATAAGAAAGTGGATACCTGGGCTTTTATACTGTGGATTATGCAGCGTTCGGCAGAAAATATTGGACTGTACTCTGTAGTGTATGAGGCAGATAGAATAGCAATATACTAGTCACTGTCATCAGGATTATTAAACATTGCACCTTAACTAAACTGCAAGCTTACAAAATAACCAAACACAAAATAAGCCAATCTAACACTTGTGTTTCTCATGCTGCTTTCAACATAGTTGCCACTCAGAATTTAAAATAAATATAATCTGCTTCAACCTTATGATATATAAGACTTAAATTGTATAGTACGTCAAAAAATACCTTGCACAATATATTCTACAAGACTTCCTTGTAG